TGAGCTATCTCCCTGGCCCAAGTTTATCTTTCTTTATAGCTGAATAATACTCCATTGTATAAATCGTCAAGAAGATTATTCACCCTGACCAGGTGTGGAGGACCACCTAAGCAGCTCTCCTTGAAAGAAGGGTGATTGTCTTCATTTTGGCTGAGCCTTACCCTATTTCCTTGTATTGATATGTACAGAGCTGCCTAAGACTTCTCTTTGTCCTTTCAATTGGCCTGAAGCAATATATATTGGTTTAGCTGAGGAGCTGGTGATAGTCTTTGAAGGGGGCATGCGTGTTTCCCTGGTAACCTACACTTGCTGCTCTTTAATGTGAGCTGGGTCAGGTTGAGGCAGGATGAAGAGCCAATGCTGTGGCCTCTCTGCAGAGAGTTCTGACCCAGGGTTCTAAACTGGGCCTGTCTGATGGAGGAAGTTCCACTCACATGTTGGGCCTGGGCTCCAGGTCGAATCTCCATGTTCACTTTCTTTCTTTCTTCTTTCTTCTTCTTCTTCTTCTTCTTCTTCTTCTTCTTCTTCTTCTTCTTCTTCTTTTCTTTTCTTTTCTTTTCTTTTCTTTTCTTTTCTTTTCTTTTCTTTCTTTCTTTCTTTCTTTCTTTCTTTCTTTCTTTCTTTCTTTCCTTCTTTTTTGTATTTTAGGGAAAGGTCTACAGGGTGTTCAGGGTCTCACTATTAGATCGACTCATAGTGATCTGCCTGTTTACAGCCTCCCAAGAGCTGGGATTACAGGCATGTGACACCACACCCAGTCTCAAGTTCCATCTCAGCACGCCCTGGGGGCAGGGCCGGCACTGCAGGCCTAGGGATCGAACACCGACCCCTGCACCTGCTTGCAGGAGCTTTAATCTGCTGAGCTATTTGGCCGGCCCTCCATGTTCATTTTTAAGGCTAAAGTAAAGCAAGGTAATTTTTTATATTAGTAGAAGAAAAGAAGGTGGGTAGCACAGGCCAGACAAGCAGTGTCAGCCAGTGAAGGCACTGTTTACTCATCACATAATTGCATTTGTTTATCAATGCTTTGTATCAGGCAATATTTTGAATGAAAATTATATAGTTCCTTTTATGAATTCCCACTTATTAAGAGACAGATGCAGCATGGAGTGACACCACAATAAGAAAAGAGCAACAGCTCAGGAATACACGAAGCGTGGCCATGATCCAGGGACGATCAGCTCTGTTTTTCCAGGGTGGTTGCCCAGAACAAGACAACCATGGGAGGGGGATCTCCACAGACCTCAACTGGCAACCTGTGTCCTACTTCTGACTGGATTTGGCCACAGAGAAGCACCGTTAGGGGATGGAGGGAGGGAAGAGAGTGAAGATAGACCGTTTGCTCGCCAGATTTCTAAGTTTGGAGTCATCATGTGCAGGCTTTATGATTCTTCCGAAAGTGATTGCTCTTGTTGGGTGGCCCTCTCTGTATGGTTCTTTCTCTTTAGTGTTTGCTTTTTTCAAATAAATTGTAATAAAATTTCTGCAAACTACCTGGTTTGAGTGCCTGACCATGATGAAACACTGATGACATTTTTATTTGAGAAAAACTCTTAGGTAGCAGGGTATGCTATCTATTGGAAAGGGATACAAGAAAATGCTGTGACCAAAGAAGATGATTCAATAATTTTGAGAAAAATGACTGGAGCTGGTCCTGGGGAAGATAGCTCAGTGGGATAAGTGCCTGCCTGGCAAGCTCATGGACCTGGGTTCGATCCCCAGGAACACATGCAGGGCCGGCCATGCATTGAGCTGGACCCTGAAACCAGGTGTGGTGGCACAAGCCTGTAACCCCAGCACTGGGGAGGCTGAGAAGGAGGATCACTACCAGTCCAAGCTGTATAGGGAGACACTGTGTCAAATAAATGAAAGATAAAAAAAAGACTGAGCCAGAGCTTGGTTTATAAATGTTGTGGTGGAAAGAAGAGGAAGTGTGCACAGATATTTGCAGATAGAATTACTATAACTTGAAGCAACCCTTGTAACCAAGCAGATTTATCCTCATCAAACACTACTGGGTGTTTCAGTCTATTTTTCTGTTGCTGTAACAGAATACCTAGGATGGGACATTTCAGAGAAAATGAACTGATTTTGATCATGGTTCTGGATGTTGAGAAGTCCAAGGGCCTGGAGGCAGCTGCTGGAGAGAGATTCATTCCGTGTGACTGTGTGGTAGAGAGATGGAAGGGCAAGCCGGTACCTGCAAAGGAAGACAAGGGACAGCCTCACTTTATAGCGACCTGCTCTCACGAGCAGAAATCCAGTTTATCTGTCCCTCAGTGTGGAGTCACCATGACCCCAAACTTCCCTACACTCTACTCTTAGTCTCTATCTTCTAGCCCTGCTATACTGGACACTAATTGCCAACACAGGAATTCTGGGAACATTCAAATAATAGCACTGAGGAAAGTGAAATTCTAACATTCATTTTATCTCATGAATTTAAAAAGTGAAGATTTACAGATAAGTAGAAGAGAGGCAACTAGGATAGATGCCCCCCAAACTTTAAAAGAATGTGACAGGGAGGCGGGCTGGGAGGAATCAGCAACAACTCGAGTTTTTAAAGGTTTCATAGTCCTGTCCCACTGGGTCAGGATGGCGCTTCTGGCTCCATCCCATTTTCCAGGGCCCACTAGGCGGTACTGGTAAGGGGTACATGGTCCAAAGAACACTTCCCAGGCTAGTCTGGGATCCTTGAGGAACAGAAACGGGATGTTGGGCTTTGCGCCTATGCATGCAGCCAGCTCATCCATGTAGCAGATGTAGTTGAGGTAGTCTTCACTGGTGTCTTTAATCACACCCCTATGAGGAAAGGAAACAGATGACTATTATTACCAACCACCTCCTGCCCCGTGTGCCTCAAGTTATAAGGTCCACTCTTTCCCATCATTTTATTTCTTCATTTTCACAATCCATCTGTGTTTGGGACTGTGTTTTTGTGTTGGAAAGAAGAAAGAGGGCATATGTGGGAATGATTCATTTGTGAATGGGAGTGGTAAAAGGAGGCAGGTGGAAGAGAAACTTTCAAGTTTTCAAATTTGAGGTGACTATTAAATCTGGTCAGCCCAAATACAGAGGCTTGATGGGTGAGCGGAGTCAGAGAGCACCGCACCTGTGGACACCTGCGATGTGAAACTGGGGCTAAGTGTGTGCTGAGAGCCCACTCTTAGTTCACTGTGATTAAACTTGACACAGATCACAAGCGTAGTTTGTGTGAAACCATCAGTCACATGTGTATCTGTTGTGAGTAAACTTTCATGATGTTGCAATGCCATTTGTGAAGTAAACAGGAATAACAGGATACAGAATCAACATTAAAAATCAGTAACTTTGGGCTGGCGTGATGGCTCAGTGGTCTAAAGCACCTACTTGGAACAAACTTGGCAGAGCACAGGGACCGCGGTTCAATCCCCCAGCACCACATGCCAGCCAGCTGCGCCCCCTGGTGGGCTGAGCTGCCCCCCCCACCACACTAAATAAATAAATGTTTTTTTTTTTTTTAAATCAGTAACTTCAATACACCAATAATAGACTAGCTGAGAATGAAATTAAAAACAAAACAGTACTCTTCACAATACCTTCAACAGTATAAAATACTTAGGAATCAACATAAAAAGAAATAACTTTACAATGAAAATTACAAAACACTAAAGAAACAGTGGAAGAAAATAACAGAAGATGGAGCCACCATGTTCATGGATTGGCAGAATTCATTTGTCAAAATGGTCATATTACCAGGGACAGTCTATATATTCAGTGTGATTGCCATCCAAATTTCAGCGCTGTACTTCACAGTGCTAGGAAAATCCTAAAATTCCTATTAAAACACAAAGGCTTGCCATAGCCACAACAATCCTTAATATAAAGCACCAGGGGAGAGACATCATGTAATCTTGGGGAATAAAAAAATTGCATGAAGATTAGATCTCATTTTAAAAAATTTTTTAATTAATTAATTTATTTATTTTGTGTGTGGCCAGTTCAGCCCACCAGGGGGCGGGGCTGGCTGGCATGTGGTGCTGGGGGGTTGAACCGCGGTCCCCGTGCTTTGCTTAGCTTGTTCTAAGTAGGTGCTTGAGACCACTAAGCCATCTCACCAGCCCTAGATCTCATTTTTAAAAAAATGTATTTAGTACAGGGCTTATAGGGCCTACAGGGTCTCATTACGTAGATTGGACATGTAGTGATTCTCCTGTCTTCAGCATCCCAAGAGCTGGGATTACAGGCACAGCCACCATGCCCAGTCTCAATCGCAGTTCAGTGTGTCCCCGGGGTGGGGCTGGCACTGCAGGCCATGGATCAAACCTGGCTGCTGTACTCTTCCTAAACAGGCGTTTTAGTCCGCTGAGCTATCAGGTCAGCCCTTTCCTCAGGTTTTAGGAGTGAGGAAGATGAGATGCTAAGAAATACAAAGAGCAGCCTAAGAAGTGGAGAGTAGAATGGACTTCTGGGGCCACGTAAAGGCAGGTTTGTCATCTGGAGGTCTGGGGCCTCCTACAATGTGCCTAAGGCCACCTCTCTAACTGGTAGCAGAATTAGGACAAAAATAGATTCAATCCAGTTATTTCTACTTTCCATATCGCTTCTCCAGGCATAACTTTTAGGCGGGAATCCTTATTTCTCTTTGGTAACAGAATTGATGAGACAGTTTTTCTTGTAGTAAGCTATATTCTGTACCTTTGAATGAGCTGTTCCTTCTTGTTAAATTCATTCATCAATTTCTGTGATGGTGGTATCTTACAGAGTCCTAGGAAGAGAGGTAGGAACAACACTAAAGCCACACATTTCTCTCATTTCTGTCTCTATCTATTTACCTCAGATTTAGAGAGTGGAACTGGAATGCACAGGTAATTTTCTGGAGGTAAAATTCTCTTACCTATACACATATCCATTTTTTATTTTATTTTATTTATTATTATTATTATTATTATTATTACTTTTTTTTTTGCAGAACTGGGGATTGAACTCAGGCCCTTGCACTTGTCAGGCAAGCACTTATTCTACTGTACCACTTCCCTGTCCCCTGTCCAAGGAATTCTATTGCCAAATTGTCAGATGGATGCTGCTGAGGGTCAGCACTCAGCCTGAGGCACCTATGTCAGAGTTCAGCACCTGCTTCTGCAGCTGAGCGGCTGTCTCTGTCCATTTGCTGCCGCATTTTTCTCTCCCTGTCCCTTCCTTTCCTTCTCTCATATATATTTAATATATATGTATATATACATATATATAATAGAATGTGCATACAGAGTTTAGATGTGCAGAATATATATATGTGTGTGTGTGTATATATATATATATATATATATATATATCATACATAGGAAGCATATGTAATATATAGGTACATAATACTAGGTACATAGTGTCCACTGTCTCAAATTTTTTTGTGTGCATTTCTTGAGGGTTGTTATCTTTTCAGGTCTCAATTTGGTTCACAGCATGCATTATTCCAGTGTCACTGGAAGGAAACGCAATTCTACTGCGAGTCATAAAGGAAAAGAATTAGGAGTGAGTAGAGTGGTCTAGAGTCTCAGAACAGAAGCTGGCAGTTTCCCGCACATCCAGTTTGAGAAATTTGATTACACTGTGCTGCCCATATTTGTCCAATCTATATACAGTCAGGCTCTCTTCTGCTGAGTCAGACAGGGTGACATTTGCACACGTTATCGTATTATGCATACATATGCTTAATTTTTCATCAAACATTCCTAATATTTTATATTCCTGGGGCTCACTTTTTGAGGGGAGTACCTGGCATAAAACTCAAGACCTCACACTTGCCAGGCAGGCACTTAGGCTGCTGAGCTATGCCCCTGGCCTGCTAGAGCTCATCTTTGTTTTATTTTAGCTATAAAATAAAACATGAGCAGGGCACTAATGTTAGGATTCAGTTGTTCAGAAAGAGCATTCTCTAGAGTTAAGTTACCTTTGAAGACTCTTGTGGCCCACCGCGCTTGGAGCTCTGTGCCTGCTAGGATGGACCCAGCAAGTTTGATAAGGCCAATGATGGCTAATGTTGGTTTTTCCAGGTTTTGAGGAAAGACCAGCTTGTGTAGGAATATCTTTTTTGTACAAAGACTTCTGAGAGGTTCTTCAAGAAAGGGAAAAGAAAATGTATATCCTGTAGCGAAGATCACAATATCGACATTTGCTTCCACTGTCCCATCTTCAAAGACTGCAGAGGTCTCTGTGAACTCCTTCACACTGCTTTTCACAGTGACTGTCCCACAGAGGATGCAGGTTGGCAGCTCGTCATTCACAACAAATTTTGGATTCTTCCTTTAATATGAAGAAAAAAAAATGACTGTAGTTATATGTAGAAGTTACTTCAGCAAATATTTTATTCAGTTAATTAAATTAAAATTTTCCTAATAGTTTATATAATCTTAGTTCACATTGGTTTTATTTTAACTAAATGACAGGACACTTATTTTAAAGTTTTTTTCTTCCTTTCTTTTTCTTTTCTTTTTTTTTTTTTTTTTGAGGTACTGGGGATCGAACTCTGGACCTTGCACTTGCCAGGCAGGTGCTTATGCTGCTGAGCTGTCTCCATGGCCCGAGGACACTTATTTTAAGAAATTACTAGGAGATTACCCATTAGTCAAGACAGTGACTAGCCTAATATCCAATTCAAAGTTGCTTACTTGCATTTCTGTTTTTATAACACGTTTTATTTCCTTGCTTCCAGGGGGGAGTGTTTACAAAATAACTGACTCCATTGTTTCCAGCTTTATGATTCTGCCTAGCTTGGGACTGATTTCTGAAGCAATGTTTTTCCTGATGTGTCAAGATCAGAGTATGCAACGAAACACTTCATGGTCAATTTAAGATTTCATATCATCTCGATCTCCCCGAGTGACATAGGTAGGCAGGAAAGTACCAAGAAACTCTTTGAATTAAAGTTTTTTTTTTTTTTTTTTTAGAAAATGGACTCTGTTTACATTGACAAATATTTACATCTCTGCCTAACCACATTAGACATACTGTTTCTATAAAATTTATATGTCAAAATATATTTTGGCATTAGTTTATTTTTTTAAAGTTGAAATAATCTTATCAAAGAATGTTTGGATAAAGAATAGACTAAAAACCACACCAAAAATGTTCTATTCTGATGGGCAAATGTATCAAGTTACACTAAAATAGATTATTTCAGCAATTCCTATTATCTTTTTTTTAAATTAATTAATTAATTTATGTGTGTGTGTGTGTGTGTGTGTGTGTGTGTGTGTGGCCAGCTCAGCCCACCAGGGGGCGGGGCTGGCTGGCATGTGGTGCTGGGGATTGAACCGTGGTCCCTGCGCTTTGCTAAGCTTGTAAACCAGACACAGAAAGCAAGCAAGTATAATTCTCCTTCACATGTGGAAGCTAAAATTACAATAGCCACTGCTGGAGGTGGAGAAGATGTGTGTGGGGTGGGGAAAAAAAGGGCAGTTGGATTTGACCTGTTTGTGCTGCAAATGCACATAGGGAATGATCACATCAAGCTTCAGTAATATGGACAAATAACACAAGTTAAAGGAGAAAGGCTTCCCATAAAAGAAAGAAAACAAGTACCCCTTCATAATGTTTAAGCCATAATTCTCATGGTTAAATGCTTTGTTCAGCTTCCTCTGTTGAATCCAGCTTCGGAACCACGAAGGCAGAGCTTGTGTAATTAAATGATTGCATCTTGTTGTGGTTATCATGAGGTAAGGGTAGCCTCCCCCTGCAGAGCGCCCGACAACCCAGGCGCCAGTTCTAGTGCTAAGAAGGACCTAAGAAAGAAGCAAAGAAGGACAAATATGGATCAGTCATTTTCTGGTATTTTTCTTTGATGTGTCTCGGTGCTTTTATAACATCTGCTCTTCCATGCCTGAGGCTATAGCTCAGGGGCACAGCACCTGCCTGCCAAGTGCAAGGTGGTGCTGGATTCCTGGTAACAAACAAACAAACAAACAAACAAACAAACAACAAAACAAAAAAGATTTGGTCTAATAACAGAGAATATTTGTGAATATGTCTATAGATCTATGCATAAATATACATTCCTGTTACTGCCATTATTTAGAAAAACACATAGCATAAATATGTACACATTAAATACTTTCATTATTTTTATGGAGTTAAATAACTAGAATTACAATATTTGTAGATATGTGTATTGTTCTGCTGATTTTTTAATGTGAATAATATAGAATTTAAAGTGAAGGTTTGAAAAAAAAATAAAGTGAAGGTTTGGAAAACTAATTTTGTCTGAATTAAGTACAAATCTGTTGCTTCTAGTGCTAACTGTGCTTATATGATACAGGATCATAACTGTGATCCTATGATGATCCTAAGTGGGATGAATATTTAAATTGTGAATCTTAAATATGGGCATTCAGAACATGATGTATACTTTTTTGGAAAGTAATGGTTGCCTTTGTTTTGAAACAAGAGACAAATCTGATTTCTTTTTCTTTCTTTCTTTCTTTCTTTTTTTTTTTTTTGTATTTTAGAGAAGAGTCTACAGGGTGTTCAGGGTCTCACTACTAGATTAGACTCGTAGTGATTTTCCTGTTTACAGTCTTCCAAGTGCTGGGATTACAGGTGCGTGCCACCACGCCCAGTCTCAATTGCCATCTCAGCGTGCCTGGGGTTGGGGCCGGCAAGGCAGGCCTGGGGATCAAACCCCCAGCCCCTG